GCTTGAGTGCGTCGGTTCGCCAGAAGTTGCGACGGTGTGCGCTCCGGGTTCAGATAGCTAGACGTTTAGTCCAAAGGAAGGAGATTGTACAATGGTCGCTTTTGCCTATGGGTGGTAGAAGGGTCAATTCTGAGACATCTGCCAGGGACGGAGTGAGCACAAGCTCAAGAATGTGCGGAGTCTGGCCGGGAAGAAGCCTGGTGGGCGATGCTATATGCTGGGTGAGATTCGTTTTGAGGACAGTTTCAAGGAGGCTGGTGTCAAATGACTCGGGTGAAAGGTGGCAGTGTGGTAGATCCCAATTGACATGCGGGGCATTGAAGTCGCCCACAATAAGACAATCTCTGCGGTTTCCATGCGAGTTGATAAAGTCTAGTACAGAAGTACCAAGTCCCCAGGGGGCTTTGTAGATGACGCCAACCATAAGGGATTTGAAGCCGTCGTTGATCCTACACCAGAGTAGCTCTGCGCCACCAACAGCGTCGCTGACGGCTTCTACGAGATGAACTTTAAGATCCTCTCTCCAGTAGAGAACTACGCCACCACCAACTCTATCCCCAGATCGGTCAGTACGGAAAAGTTGGTATCCTGAGATGTGGATCTCAGTCCGAGATGTCTGAAGTGAGCCAGGTCTCAGTGAAGACCATCAGGTCAGGAAGTAGCCTTGCGGCAAGAGCGTGTACCTCATCAAATTTGTTGCTGAGACTACGGACATTTGCAACCAACACCTGTAGTCCATGCTTTCTCCTTGTTTTTAAGTCCCGGGGAGGACCAACAGTGGTTTCCAGCGGGACCTTATAGTTTATTATCCGGGGGTGAGGAGAATGGGCCTCCAGCGGGTTTTCGGAGTCCTTCGAACTACTCGAAAATCCACAATATGGAAGTCTGTTTCACCACTTCCCCGTCTTGTACGTAGTCCTTCTACGGCCTTTTTCAGTTTGACTCCATCTTCTGGTGAGAGGTCACGAAGTACATAGAATGGCTCGCATTTGAGACGCGAGGTCCTTCGCAGGATGCGTCGGCATTCCTCCTCATCCCGGCAAACGATTTTAAGGGGGCGATTTCTCGAGATATCCTCTTGCTTTTTTACCAAGACGGAAGGAAGATACAATATTGATTCCCTGTTCGCCTTTATCAAATAGCAATGAGAACAATCGCTCAAGCAGTGTTTGGTCATCTAGTATTCTTTCCGCAGGGCTTGGTTTTTCCGATTCCGCTGCGTTCATGATGATAAGACAACGGTCACGAAATGGCTGGTTACGTTCAGGAACATGTGGCTCGCTACGGGGCGGATTTTCCTTGACAGCTTTCTCAAGCTCAGATAGTCTGTCGAGAACGAGCTTCATTTGAGACTGAGATGATAGCTTAGGTTTGGGTTTCTCGGCGGGCTTAGGCCTGGACTTGGCGCCACTTGTAGTCAGGCTTTTGCAAATAGGAACAGAGACCGCGCTTTCGCTCACAACTGCCGCATAAGATCTTGTGGTGGGATCAGTGGGCAGAATCTGTGTAGATGGATCCGTATGCGTAGTGGACGTGGTTCGACTTCGCTTGCCTATGGGGATGATCCAACCGGAGGTAGATGTTGATGGTGAGCACGGTGGAGCAGATGAATCGTGAATCGTATCAGGCTTCGTCGGAGAAGAAGAATCAATGCTCAACGCAGATAGTCTGGCGAGAAGACGCCTGCAATTCAGTGAGGCACGGCAGTTGTCGCGAAAGGTAATGGCAGGCGAGGTGAATCGCTGCAAGTGCACATATTGATCAGGACAGATGCCGCAGCAGGCGATGTGCATCCACCCATCACATTCAGAGCACTGCACTGCTTTGGAACGAGTGGTGACACCTTTACTACAGGACAAGCATTTGGACGCCATGGAAGATGAAGTCCAAATATTCACTAAATGATTCTCCAGAAACGATCTTTATTCTCTTTTCTTCGCATAGAAGATCACAGTGGAACGTAACACTCAAGAGGACGTCGCTCTCACAGGTCGTTATTAAAAGGATACGGAATATAAAAAGTGGTTTATGGAAGTCCACTGTATGGATCGGATAAAGAAGTATGTGGGAGAATATATGGTAAATTGTCCAAGACACAGGAGAATCCACCCACTAGCGTTGAATTTGTCCCCAGAGTACCTGATGGTTCTTATTTAGCTGAGTTTCCTGTGGTGGAAACGCAAGTCGTTAAACTGCTGCAAGAACTGAACCCTTCCAAAGCAGCTGGACCTGATTCAATTCACCCGAAGCTTCTGCATGAGTTGGCGGGGGAACTAAGTGGACCGCTGACGATGGTGTTTCAGAAATCACTTGACACCTTATAGCGGGTTGATCGTGCGCTATATATCCGGTACGCGACTAGACGGCCAACCAAAAATAATGGATAGAAGACACAACAGTAAGCTAGGGAAAAGTTTATTGGACGGGAGGAGCGTTAGCTAATGCTAAAAATAGGGCACCCGGAGAGAGCTAGCTAGGGAGAATGTCGATGGCGTCGAGTGCGTTGACAGAGCGTCGTTCGCAATCGAGTCGCGCGCGCCAAAGGCGGAGATGGCGTTCGTGTTTTCAACAAACGGAAACAACGTTCCAACAGGCAAACCGCCTAGTTCCCTAATACATAAGAAAGCTATAATTTCAATATTTTAGAATAGTTTACACAGTCATACGAGGGAATCTCCAGGTCGCTACAACCTGTACATTACCTTCCGAATGGAAGGAGGCTGTCATCTGTCCTATCTTCAAAAATGGCGACAGGAGTCTGTCAGCCAATTATAGGCCAGTTAGTCTGATTAGCGTCGTGGTCAAACTGCTTGAAAAGCTGGTGAGAGATTCGTTGGAATGTCACCTGAATAGATTTAATCTGCTCAGTAGTGCACAACATGGATTCCGGAAGGGATTTTCGTGTTTGACGAATTTGTTGGTTGCTCGTGAAGTTTGGGCCGAGGCAGTGGACAATGGCCACGTGGTGGATGTGCTTTTCGTAGACTTCTCGAAAGCATTTGATAAGGTACCCCACTTGAGGCTATCACATAAGCTGAGGTCCTACGGCGTATCTGGCCGCGCCCTTCACTGGGTATCTGCGTTTTTGCAGGGAAGAGAGCATTGTGTACGTGTGGGTCGCAGCTTATCCTTTAAGCAAGCGGTCCTTAGCGGTGTCTCACAGGGCTCGGTCCTTGGACCGATGCTGTTCTCCATCTACGTAAACGATCTCCCTGGAGAGCTTGGGGTATCATCCTTATTGTTTGCTGATGACCTTAAGCTATGGAATGTTGTAAATGATCCTGGGGGTCCTGAGGCCATACAGCGTGCACTGGACAGACTCTGGGACTGGTCTACTTTGTGGCTACTGCCCATAAATCAGACTAAGTGTTCCGTCCTTCGTATAGGAGCAACTTTCCCGCCTTCGAGCTATGTACTCGGTGGGGTCGAACTCCCCCTTGTCTCCAACCAAATAGACCTAGGCGTCGTCCATTCCTCGTCTTTGCATTCTGGTGACAACTGGAAGAAGGCAGCTAGTAGGGGTTTCAGAATGTTATGGTTAATACGCCGTTCTTTCGGGGTCTTAACTGCCGACATATTTGTGAAGCTATTCTCAGCTTTCGTTCGGCCCCATCTGGAATACTGCGTCCAGGCTTGCGCGCCCTGCCTTGTTCGGGACAAAATGGAGCTTGAGAGGGTTTTGAGAGTATATACCAAATTGGTCGAGGGGTTACGGGGGCAATCGTACCCCGAGCGTCTACTTAGCTTGGGTATGTATTAAATGCACTACCGACGGCTTCGAGGAGACCTAATCCTTACTTACCGCATTTTAACAGGGAAGGTTGGGCCGGACTTGCGCTGGCTATTTAGCCCGGCTAGATTGCCTTGTCTTCGCGGTCATCCCATGAAGCTACACAAGCCGCGTTCTGACGGGATCAGGGCGGAAACTCGGTTATCGCGTAGAGTTATCGAGCGCTGGAACTCGCTTCCAGAAAATGTAGTCAGTGAACCTACGGTTAGGGGTTTCGAGCGTCAGTTAGACGCTCTTGGGTGGCAACACGAAACCTTTCCCTTCTCCTGACCATATTCATCTTCAAACTTTCAGTTCTTATTCTGTCATTCTCTTCACTCTTTGGTGTTATCCTTCATTTTAATGACTTTCATTCCCCTTTATCTTCCATTTACTTTCTACTTCTTTCTTACTTCACGTAACCTACACAGCGCGGACTGCTAGTGCAGGGAATGTGGGCAGTAGTTGGTTGATCAGGGTGTGTTTCGGGTGTTTCGTTTTACAAGTGTCGTGCAAAAAAATTTGACTTTTGTCAAATTTCGCTTGATCCAAAGAATTTTGGATCATCGTTTTCCCCGGATTACGTCGTACCCGTTTTCGGGTACATACCAACGTCGTCCATCTTTTTCGGGTTCAGCCTCTGGCTATTTTTCCGGTATTTTTGTGTTTTGTAATCCGTTTTGCACCTTGTTTAACCCATAACTGTTTCTGTTGACTGCCCTGCAGGTAACAGCTTGTCGGTTTTACGTTTTGATACTTGTTTCACACTCTTTGAAAGCGTCATGTCGGATTCACTGAATACCGGCGCTAATATGTCTTCGGCTGCATTGATCAGCGAATCAAATGCTGTATGTGGCAGCGGGAGCTGCTCAAAGCCCGTGACGGACGAGTCTGGTGGCATGCAGTGCTATGTATGCAACTGCTGGTACCATGAGACCTGCACCGATTTGAGCCCTGATCAGTACGCAATGCTTTCGACTAGCGATAGCATGCTGTTCCATTGTCTTCTATGCCGTCGCCGTCGATCTACGCCTCTTGAGGTCACTGAGGAGACATTGAGCAACATCGGGCTGGGTAACCAGCAGTTGTGGTCTTTCCTCATATCTCTTGATCGGAAAGTGGAGCTACTGATGAGAAATATGGGAGTCTCTATTGATGTCGGCTCATTGAAGGAAGACACGCAACTAACCTCAATTGCTGTCGATGGAAATCCGACCGAGGTGATGTCTACCGTGTCGTGTGTCACAGCGGTCCAGAATGCCTCTAAAGGGGCCTCTGATGTCGTACCGGAAGCCGTCCAAAGCGTGACCGAACTTATTGCCCCTGGGCCCAATAAAAGCAGGAGGAAGAGGGCTAAGAAAGTCCCTAAGGCTGTTTCAAAGCCTGAAGGTATTGAAAGCATTAAGGTATTGGAGGTGGAACACAAAACTCCAACTCCAATCACCCCAGTTCCATTGGCGAAGCAACGCGCGGTGTCGACTTCGGCCACACCCGCAAAGTCTGAAAAGACTAGACCGGTGAGGGAGTTGGAGGCAGAGGATAAAGCCTCAACCTCAATTACTCCAGCTCACTTGGCGAAGAAACGCGCCGTGCCATCTGCCAAACCGGTCGAAACTGAGGTCGCGTCGAAGACGCGTGGAGTGAATACACCTCGTAGAGGTGATTCTTTTACTGATAGTAGCGTTATCTTTCGTAACGTTGCTGAATCCGCGGCAGCTCTTCCAAAGGAGCGCATGCTGGATGACCTCCAGTGGTTCAAGCTCTGCGTCAACAAGATGCTTCCACCTGGTTTCCCCGGTGTCACTATCAGGAAATTAACCAGATTGGGGAACGTCCCTGTTGACACGCCAAATCCGCGACCCCGACTACTTCGTGTAGTCCTCTCAACCCCGGAGGAACGCAAAGCGTTAATGCGCTTTGCATTCAAACTCAAGGGTAGTAATGTCAGCGTTCAGCCGGACCTCCCACTGGCAGATCGACTGAAGTTAAAGGAAGCCATCAAAAGCCTCAAAAGCAGGCGGGCGGCTGGTGAGCAAGGCCTTCGTCTTGTGGGTTTTCAGGTGGTCAGCCGGAAGTCAAATTCTGCCCTACCAGAACCTCTTCTGGTAGCGTACGACCCAGGGCTGGTCGTGCCGAGTTCCTTCGGGTAGTGCTTAGTAATGTGCGTAGCCTAAGGAACAAGGTACACGAGGTGGGTCTACTTGTAGACAAATCTCGTCCCGACATACTTGCTATCACCGAAACGTGGCTGTCCCCGGATATCACAGACGGTGAAGTATGTTTGCCTGGCTACGCACTGCTTAGATGCGATCGCTCCATTGGCCGCCAAGGTGGAGGCGTCGCTCTTTATGTGAGTTGTAAACTCGATGTGTTGAGGACTTGGGTGTTCCAGTCGCCGGATCAAACTGTTGAAGCCCTCTCGGCTATTGTGTGCACTTCCTCCGCTCAGTTTACAGTTGTAGTGGTATATCGAAGTCCTGGTAGTATCTCCAGGGAGGTTATTGAATTTATTCGTACTCAGGCTGCCAATAGGTGTCTAATACTGGGTGACTTCAACCTCCCTGAAGTCTGCTGGGCTGATCTATCTTGCAGTTCGGCGGTGGGCACTTTCGGTTCGGATCTCCTTGAGCTAACATTGCAACTGCCTTTGCATCAGTTCGTGGACCTCCCGACTAGATATATGCGCAACCAAATTCCGTCTACCTTGGATCTCATTTTTGCGAAGTCACACGATTTCGTAAGTGATATTGCCTACGACTGTCCTCTAGGAGCCAGTGACCATGTCTGCATATCCTTTCGATGTGCTCTAACTAAGTGTCATCAGGCTACCGCTGAGGCATGTCCAAATATTTGGCGGGCAGACTTTAACGCAATACGAGCCAAAGCTTCAGTTTTGCGTTGTGCGATCACCGTGGCTGACACCGTTGAGACAGCCTGGGAGAAATTTAAAGCGTACCTCACTGAGATCTCTGCTCCCCACATCCCATTCACTAAGAGAAGGGTGACACGGGCGCAGCCTCCATGGATAGATCATACAGGTAAATACCTGCTCAGGAAGCGCTCTAAGTGCTGGCGAACTTACCAAGCGGCTTCATCAACCAGCACCTACGAAAGCTATCGAGCGGTTAGAAATGAATGTAAGCATCATCTTAGAACTCTTCGTCTTCAGTACGAGGAGGATTTGGCTAACGCAGCCGTAAAAAACCCAAAGAAGTTCTTTGCTTACGTAAAGAGACGTAGCGGTACAAACTCGTCTATACCGGCTTTACTACGAGCGGACGGGACCCATGGGCATACCGACTACGATAATGCCTGTATACTTAGCGAACAGTATACTGGTGTCTTTTCTCATGAGGCCTCTCTACCTCAAGTTGAGCTGGTCACTAAAGTTCCGGAGGATTCTTGCCTAACTGAAATAAGCATAACGGAGACACAAGTCTTCAGGCTATTGCAAGGGCTAAATCCTTCCAAAGCTTCTGGCCCTGATTCAATTCATCCGAAGCTGATGCATGAATTGGCCGCTGAGCTAAGTGGCCCTCTGACATGCATGTTTACAATATCACTCGACAGCTGTGCCTTACCTTCTGAATGGAAGAAGGCAATCATCTGTCCGATTTTTAAGGGCGGGGACAGAGTTCTGCCCGCGAACTATCGGCCTGTCAGCTTAACAAGCGTAGTAGTTAAGTTGTTTGAAAAATTGGTCAGGGATTCGGTGGAGAATCACCTGATTAAGTTTAAACTTCTCAGTGCGGCCCAGCACGGATTCCGTAAGGGATTTTCATGTCTGACAAATTTGCTTGTAGCTCGTGAAAGCTGGGCTGAGGCAGTAGACAACGGCCACGCCATCGACGTGCTTTTCGTTGACTTCTCGAAAGCCTTTGATACTGTCCCACATCAGCGACTCTCATTGAAGTTGAGATCGTATGGGATATCCGGAGCCGCCCTTAAATGGGTTTCTGCTTTCCTAGAGGGCAGAGAACAGTGTGTACGCGTGGGACGTAGCCTTTCGCTTAGACAAGCTGTTCTTAGTGGCGTTCCGCAGGGCTCGGTTCTAGGGCCGTTGCTTTTCGCAATTTATGTCAATGACCTACCCGAGGAGCTTGGAGTACCGTCGCTATTGTTTGCTGATGACCTCAAGCTCTGGAATATTGTGGATATCCCTGGTGGCTCTGAGGCACTTCAGAGTGCTTTGGATAGGCTCTGGGATTGGTCAACCTTATGGTTGATGCCCATAAATCAGGCGAAATGTTCTGTCCTCCGCATTGGAGGTGCTAATCCCCCCACGCGCTATGTAGTTGGTGGAAGTGAACTCCCTGTTGTCATTCAGCAGGTTGATCTAGGTATCACCCATACCTCCTTGCTTCACTCTGGGGAAAATTGGAGGAAGGCTGCTTGTAGAGGGTTCCGTATGATGTGGTTTATTCGTCGCTCCTTCGGTGTCCTAACGGCCAATATCTTTGTGAAGCTGTTCTCAGCTTTCGTGCGACCTCACTTAGAGTACTGTATCCAGGCTTGTCCACCTTGTCTTGTAAGGGACAAAATGGAACTGGAGAGGGTTTTGCGAGTGGGTACAAGGTTAGTGCAAGGATTACGGGGGCAAACGTATCCCGAACGTTTGCTTAGCTTGGGTATGTACTCAATGCACTACCGCAGAATTAGAGGAGACTTGATTCTCACTTACCGTATCTTAACGGGTAAGATTGGTCCAGATTTATCCTGGCTATTTAGTCCCGCCAAGCTGCCTAGTCTCCGAGGTCACCCGTTGAAGCTGCACAAACAGCGTTCTGACCGGGTAAGGACGGAAACTCGCTTGTCGCGTCGAGTTATTGAACGTTGGAACTCGCTTCCAGCGCACGTGGTTAGGGAGTCTACGGTAGAGGGTTTCGAGCGTCAATTAGATGCTCTAGGGTGGCAGTACCAAACCTTCCCCTTCTCCTAACCGACTTGTATCTTCAACTTCCCCTTCGTTCTTTTTTAATCTTCTCACCTTGGTATTATCATTATTTAGCTGACATTCCTCCTTTTCTTTTCTTAACTTACCCTTCACTCTTTTACTTCACATAAACCGGCCCGGCAGGGACTGCTGGGCAGGAAAATGTGGGCAGTAATTGGTTGGACAGGGTGTGATGCGGTCTTTGTTTTAGAATTTTCAACATCTCAAGCAGACCTGTCAATTCCCGATCCGACGATACGCAAAAGAAGGAACATTCACGGGATTATCCTATCGTTCCGGTCCCAACTGAACTTGAACTTGAACTTGATCTATCAAGAACTAACACCTTATCATTTCCTGACTCAACGATTTGCTCAAGAAGGAACACTCAAGGGATTTTCCTATCGTTCCAGTCCGTCTGAATCTGAATCTGAAAACCGTGTGTACCGAAATCACCCTGCCGAAAAAAACATTATTTCCAAGTAGCGGATGGGACGCTCCGTCACAGAACAACTCAGCGCTCAAAACCCTCCCTAGCTTCAGTTTGTCCCCAACAAGGCAGGGCGAGCAAGCCTAGACGCAGTATACCAGATGGGGCCGGACGAAAGCTGACATGGTTTGGATTACATCCTCAACTACTACTATGGCTCTCTGAATTCTTACGTGGAAGGACATTTAGAGTCAGCGTTGGGGAAGCGAGTTCTAGTGTTGGTCATGCCTACAGTGGTGTCCCCCAAGGTTCGGTTCTGGGTCCATTGCTATTTCTTATGTTTATAAATGACCTGGCTCCTCTTCTTGAGGACCCCTGCTACATCTTCGCAGATGACTTGAAGCTGGTCAGTAGGGGAAACCGTGCGACATTGGCTAAGGACATCCTCACTGTGGTGAATTGGTCAAGTCAATGGGACCTACCTCTAAATGCCAACAAATGTCAACTATTGACTAGTAGTGGTAGCGGAATCGCAGTTCAGTCTCCTGTGGGATTTCTATCATTGCGGTGCACTGACGAAGCCCGTGATCTAGGTGTCATCGTAGCGAACAATTTTAAGCCTTCGGCACAGTGTCGCCATGCTGCCAATAAAGCACGACACGAATTATTTCGTCTTAGGAGGGCGCTGAGTAACACTAAAGCAGAAGTATTCTTGCCCTTATATAAAGCAGTGGTCAGGCCACATCTGGAGTATTGCGTTCAAGCCTGGTCACCGTACCTCCGTAGTGACATCACTTGTATAGAAAAGATTCAGAAACTTGCGACCAGGATGATTGAAGGTCAACGAGGGAAGTCTTATGAAGATCGTCTAAGTAGCTTAGGATTATTTTCCCTGGAACGGCGTAGGTTGAGAGGGGATTTGATAGAGACGTTTAAGATCATTAAGGGACTTAGTGGTATTAGTTCCACCCATCTGTTTGAACTGGCTACGTCAGACCATCTGCGCGGGCATCGCCTGAGGCTTAAACATCACAGAGCT